CGAGCTCAGCTCGGCGAGATGCCCGGCGGCGGGGGGAGCCGCTGCGGCGCCCCCTGGAGCGGGCAGCATTGTGATGCCTGCAGCGGGGAGGATATGGGAGGGCTTTATTGAGCCTCCGGTCGGGGAAGGCTGTGAGCCACCGTCCTGCCTTGTCCGGGGCTCCAGGTGCTGACTCCAAATCTCTGATCCTTAGGAATAAGACTTATCTATGTTTCTTTGCTGGAGGCACTCTCCAAAACAATAACCAGCAATTACGAAGTTTGCCTTATATCAGGTTAGGAAGATGCAATTATAACTAAATTTTTTGAAGGTTGGTGCCATATAAGGTTCTGTGTACACTGTAATAAAGCAATAGGCGTAAAACTACTGTCTTGAAATAAACTGTCTTGCCAAAAAAACTTAGTAAGTATGCTGTTGTATAATCTGATCTTCCAAGATATGTTTCCTGATCAACAGTGTCCTCATCCTTTCTTGTTCTTAGAGGAGTAATTCAGTTTTGTTTCAGACTGTTCAGGCAGCAGGGAGGAGCAACTGCTGAGGTTATAACAGGAGTAGGTTTTCTCCATAGAATCATAGAATGGTTTGGGTTGGAAGGGACCTTATAGACCATCCAGTTCCAACCCCCCTGCCATGGGCAGGGACACCTTCCACTAGACCAGGTTGCTCCAAGCCTCATCCAGCCTGGCCTTGGACACTTCCAGGGATGGGGCATCCACAGCTGCTCTGGGCAACGTGTCCTAGTGCCTCACTGGAACAGTGAACTTCCTTGTCACTGGAAACACTCTGATATAAGTATCAGGTTTGTAAGTTCACTTTTAAGCCTAGGTACCCTTTGTGCCTAAAGAAGGGATGTCTCAGAGCAAACAGATGATGTAGCCATTTACTATTCTGTTACTTCTTAAAATCTGTAACAAATAACCTGGACAGCTGCCTAAAATGGCACTTGACTCTCATAAATTCATGTGTTATTATCCAGTCTGGCCCATTCAATGTAGGCACGTTCTGTGAAGTAATAGAAGTTAAAATGTTACTTTCATATTCAGATTTCTTCATTAGAATACTTAAACTTCCTCTCAGGCAAGATGTGGATGCTTGTTTTGGTGAACTAAAGGTGTCCTGCTGATTACTAGATGCTTTTGCAGATGAGAAAATGTACTTTGAGTTAGCTGTAGTTTTAAGCCTCAGATGCCACTAATACTGGAGTGCAATTCGTACTTGCATCTATTATCAGTATGACTAGCAGGTTACTAACAGCGAAGTCACAATTTCAGACCTTAACAGATCTCTGCTTTGTATAAAGTTCCGTAACGTGTAGCGTAATGAAAACGTGACTGTTCTTGGAGGTTCTGATTAAAGAATACCATGTTAAATTGAAAGTGACTTCTTATATTTTGGTGCTCTAGGACAGCAAGAATAGTGTAAGCTCAGTAAAGATGTAAGAGTTTCTGTGGAAGTTGCATTTTGCATATCCTTTGTTCTGTATAGATCATGAGCACAGGATTTAAGTGTGATGGAAAACAGTAGTTCCCAACCACCTCTAACATATATGACATCTGCATCTTTCTCATACTGTTCAAAATTATGGTGGAAGAGACACAGAATGAAACGGTAGTGTGGTGAGATGGGATTCTGGTAGTGCACTGATTGAAAGGTGAAGCATAACATTATGGTATGCAAAAGTCACTTTATTCCAGATGAGGAACATGCTGCTGACTTCAGTAACAAGTGTCTTGCTGTAAAAGCTTTTTTGGTAAGTGTTTTCAACCCAAAATTTGACATAAAAATCTGTACTTAAGCATACTGAGGCCTAGCTGAAACTGAACATCTGTAGAGCTTCTCAAAGTTTCAGGAAACAGTATGTATCACTCTTGACTTGCTAGTAGGCTGTTTATTTAGGTGTGGCTTTAAGCACTGGGCTTAATAATGCTGGACTTCTTACTCAAAGGTTAAGATTCATCTGCTGAAGTAAGTAAAAGTGAGTGGAAATGGAGAGCTACTCTCTATCATTCTTGCATTTTGGAATCCTGTGTCTTACCCATTTAGTGTTAATAAATGTCTAATAACTTTTAGGCTTGGATAAGCTCTTTGTTGAAGATACCTAATACTTTAGAGACATACTGGATTGCTTGAATAAATTGGGTATGTATTTAGAGTTGTGGTCTTGGATATCCTCCACCGAACTTGCATCCTGCTGAGCCTTATGCTGCTTCTGCTAAAGCACTAACATTGGAATCTAGTTAGGTTGTTGCCTCTGGTGTGCAAAAAGATAAATACTGAGCTATTGTTTCGATCCTTAGTGAAAGGCTGTTTCGTTCTCTGGAGGGAATAACTGAACTTTCTGAAAGAATAGCTTCAAAGAATGATAGTTTAGTTGTTCTTTCACCCCAATATGGCTTTATGATGTCATGAACTCAGTCCACCAAAAAATAAGTCTGATTAGAGATGTTTACTTGTGCATTTGCTAGAAGCAAGCTTTCCTCTTCAGCTTTCTGCTTTGGTTTTCTGAAAAAGTCAAATAGCTGTGTTTCAGATTCTCGCACAAAGATGACATGTCAGTTGCTACCTGTTTGTGTCTGAGCAAAAGTCACACTGAGTGGGAAATGCACATACTCATTTAAGACTTTGGTGTGACCCAGTTCACTTAGTTCAGAGATGGTTTTAATTATAGTTGACTTTTGTCTTATTTTGTTACAAATGAGAGCATCTTCTTTCAGTCTTATTGTTTGGTTACTGAAGTCAGCCTTATTTTTTTCATTTTTTTTGTTTCAGTGTTGAAAAAAAATGTAGGGAAGTGTAAAACCAGTTTCTTTTTGTGCTCCTGTACTTGGATTCTGTTAAGAAACCTTGTTTGGAACCTGGTGAATGACGATTCCTATTCTCCAAACGGAGACTAAAATACCAAATACATATTTGAGAACTGAGGCTTTAGTGGATCAAATTCAAAAAGAATACTTTATTTTCTGGCTTGATATCAGTAGGAATTGCACAATAGGGCATGGATTTCCACACATGTATCCAGTGAAGTTCTGGTGTGCCATGGCAGAACAAGGTTTGTCTATAGCCCAAGGAATTCTGGGGATTGCTAACTTGCGGGTGTGGTTTCAGAAGCTGCTCAAATTGATCTGGATGGCTGTTGCTGCTGAAAGCTGCAGTTCAAGCCCTTGCTTTCATCCTCCTCCCCATGTTGACATGGTGTGCTCTTTGCAGCTGTCCAGATCTCCTTGTTGATCTGGCTGAGAATTCAGCTTTAGGGTGAGTTTTCAGGTGAATAAGATCACTGAATGCGGTGACTGTTTTAGGAACATGGTGGTAATGTGTAGAAGGAGGGAATGCTCCTTTTCAATTCGGCCAAAGCCATTTTGATGTTCCTACAGAACACAAAAATCAATATTTTTTGACTGCAAATTAAATTAAAGTATTTTAATAGCTGTTTGTAAGGCCGTAGTTGAGAATCAAGGACAAAGGCATGGAACTGGATCTACGTATTACAGAATTCTTTAGATGAGCAACTCTGCCTTCTTGGAGTTCCTCCTTAAAACTTAGTCCTGTGACTAAAGTTAATTCTGCTATACACACACAGCACCCAACTCTAGCAGCTTTAGTTTTCCAGTATGTTTTTGACTCTTAACGAGACAAAGGCATATGAGGAATATTGTCAGAAATGCTAAAATATGAACTTGGGTGGATACTAATTAAAAATATGTAGGTTGTGATTCAGGTACTTTTAGCAGCATGCTGATGGTGTTGGTGACAAACGACTCCTGAATGGAACTGCTGCTGTAAGATGGCACAAATGACAGGCTTACCTAGAAGGAGTTAAGGAATCTTACTCAAGATTTCTGCATTATCTGATTCATTACTAATAAAATATTTATTCTGGAATGGAAAAAAAAAAAAAGGTGGACAAGTATACTGCTTGCCCAGTGGATTTTCTGGCTTCATGCAACCAGCTAGAATAAAAGGAACTAATAGAATTATTAAAATCTAGTCTATTTAAGAAGCCATGTTTTTTAGTAGAAGACAGTATAGATACCCTTACAATGCTTTTCTTAAAGGGTTGTGGGATGAGAAGGAAGTTTGTTCATCACTTTGTTACCGGATTCACCTGTAATGTGTTTAAATATAGTGTTCTTCTATTTTCCCACTGAAGTACTGTGTCAGGTAATATTAGAAATGAGTTGGCCAATAATGGAGATGGCAGGTACGGGCAAAGGGATAGAAAAACTAACTGAAGTTGTGAAAAAATCCACCTGCAAGCAGTCAAACAGCACTGAGCAGCGCTATATGCTGTATTACTGGCTGTGTTGGGAGTCATGTTCCAGAGGCACTATGCTTTTTTCTAACAGGTCTCGTGGTGGTGGCCTTGGTTCCCGCAAACAGAAAGAGCTGCCAACAGAACCCCCTTTCACAGCGTATGTGGGAAATCTACCCTTCAACACAGTTCAAGGAGACATAGATGCCATCTTCAAGGATCTCAGTGTAAGGAGCGTACGACTAGTCAGAGACAAGGAAACAGATAAATTTAAAGGTGAGTGGTCAGAGTAGTTTGAGTTGTAGATGGCTAGCAGGTAGGAGAAAATGAAGTACTTCTCAAGTCACTTAAATAGGGAATTTCAGTCTCTGGAGCGCAGTTAGCTGGTTGATCTTGCTTACGTTGACTTAATGCAGGTTTCTCCTTCACTAACAAACATCTCATTTGAATGAGCTTCACTCTTACTTGCATCATAAGATACGGACTAACCTGAGTGACTAGAGTTAATATTTGCCTCGCCATAAAAGGACTTACTCTAAACTTTGTTTATTTTGTATGAATGGTAACAAAGCTGAAGTGCCTGACCCGCTTAAGATCAGTGACCTTAAGTGTTGAGTACTTACACAAACTTTCTGTAGTCCAGAAGACTCCTAGTGCTTCAGCTGTCGTCTTTTTTTTTTTTTTTTTTAGTAGACAGGGAAAACAAGTGATAAGCCATTCAGACAATTGTTTTAGAGGATGCACATCTGATTGCCATTGGAAGTGGCCAGTGGGGAGGTCGTATATCGGAAGGGGGGGAGAAGTGTTAACTCGTGTAACAGGGGGTTTCAGAAGAGGAATAAATTCACTAGATGCTGTGATGACACAAAATTAGACTGCTGGCCAAGCAGGTACTTCAGTTTCGTGTTTAAAAGTCCTAGTAACCGAATGTCAATAGTCAGCTAAATAACTGTCTAAAGGCATAGATCAAATCTTATCTGCAGTGAGAACCCTTGAGTAAAGGGAATTAATCAGGCTTTTCGCATTTGCGTAGTGCCCGTCCAGAGTTCTGTATTTCAGGGTTTGTCCCGTCATTAATAGGTAAACGCATTCGTCGTTAGTGATACTTGGGTTCTGAGCTGTGTGCATCTTGTACTTACCACACCATAGCTCATGTTGGAAAGAGAAGGGAGGCTGTCAGGAGGTATGTAGGGGGAACAGCTGCTTAACAAAGGTCTGTTAAAGTTCTGGTATTAACTTGTGAGGTTCTTCTTACAGGATTTTGTTACGTAGAGTTCGATGAGGTGGAATCACTCAAGGAAGCTCTTACTTATGATGGTGCAGTAAGTATACTTGCAATTCATTTGTGAAAAAAAAAAAAGACAAGCACAAGTCTCAAACTCCTTGGCAGCCCATATGATACATTCTGAAGAGATTCTCCCCTTTATTTAACAGCTTTTGGGTGATCGAACACTCCGAGTGGACATAGCAGAAGGCAGAAAACAGGACAAAGGTGGCTTTGGCTTCAGAAAAGGTGGCGGGCCTGATGACAGAGGTGACTTCCATTTTTTCTGAACAGCTTCTTAAATGTAATGGTTGTAGCTGTGACTTGTGGTGCTAACTAATGCTGAGACAAAGCATGCAAGTAAACGTGAAGATGATGCAGGAGGAGAAATGGTATATGTATATACACGTTTCTAATCTAGCTGCTGCTGCTCCTGAGATGCCTGGAATAGATGTGCTTTGTGTCCAAAAGCTGAATGTGTTGTCACTCCTAGCCCAGGAAGTGAGACCAATACCCCTAGTAATGTACAGTGTCTTGCAGAGGACAATCATAAGCCCAAGTCTGATCTGCTACTATTTTACTATGATGTAAGAAACGTGAGTAAGCACAAGTACACAATGATTTATTTTGGACCGTCTCCTGTTAAGCAGGTGTAAGACCAGGCTTTGCTGTAGTTGAAGCTTAAATGAACGACTCACTACAGGTTTCCACTGAATATGTATTAGAGACACTTCTGACCGCTTGTTCTTAAACTGACCTTTTGTTCCTGTGCCACGGAACTTGGTAGTACCGAAACGAAAGGATTGTCCAGCAACATCACTTTGGATATGGGAGGACTGAACCTTTGGGTTGGTATCCCCTTGATCAGTCTTTCCCACAGCTTCAGACCTGAACACAATTGTGGCTTTTTTCCTAGGATTGGCAGGAGGTTCCCGAGAATCCAGAGGAGGTGGATGGGATTCCAGAGATGACTTCAATTCTGGTATCAGTATTAACACTTATACAGCTAGGCAGCCTAAAAGGCACAGAACTGTTCCTATTTTCATCTCAGCTACATTTGACCCCATTACTGGTGTGAGTCTACAGCATGCTGACTCTGGACATCCTACAGCTGCAGTGGGATTCTTCAGGGGGAATCTTCCATTGCCTTATAACAGAGGAAAGAGTCTTGACTGTACATCTTTTGAAACCATCCCAAATGACCGAATGTTTGCATGTAGCCCGTGGTATCTAGGTTTTAAGCAATTCTCAAACACAAGGCTAAGTACCTTGCTGAATAGTAGCAGAAACAGATCACGTGGAAATGCTGGTGTTGTATTCCTTCAGAGCAAAGGCTCTCGCCTTCCTGAGGAGATGTGACATCATTACATGTGTATCCCTGAAGCAACTGATTTCTCCAAAGATGTGTTAGTGTTCCAAAGCACTTGCAAATGCAGAACATTCCTAAACTTCTAGACCTGTTACGGTAATGCAGGTTGCAGCAAAGTACTGAGGCTGAGTGCAGGTAGTGATGGAGCTACTGCGTTTGCTCTTGACTCCCTGTCAGTTTGCAGCCATTTAGAACCCAGGGTGATACTAACAAAATTGCCTTTGTCCTCTGAAATCGTGGGTTTGGTCCATTTTCTGATGTTGGCAAACGCGACTTTGCGATGTCTGGTCTCTGCATGAGTGGAATGGACAAAGTGGAAGGAACGAGCGGTAATGACGTGCCCTTGGCACTAGCATGAAACTGAGGCATGGTGCTGGAGAGAGGAGGCTTGCTGCAGCGCTGCGCTTAACCTGCCTTTGTAGCTGAGCATTCTGGTGGCATAGCTTCTACCTTTTTTGGCAGCTTCTTCAAATGCAGATGCATTTCAGCTTGTTAGATGCTGGATAAGTGATTTGTGAGCCAAAAGTTTAGCGTTTTAAGTCTTTAATTGCTACAGAAGCTTTTCTTCTCGGGTTGTACAGCCTTGCTCTGGATCAAGTCTTTAAAGGTGGTTGCCTGGCACGGAAGTAAGGGACAGTTCTGCAATTCTGCCAGATTCTGAAGCAGGAAGGAAATCTCAAATGGGAGCAAAACAACTTCCAGGCGGTTTCTGAAAAACTGAGTATATTCCCTTTAGGTGTGCTGTTAGGAGGAGGTATCCTCCCATTGGATGCAGGTGGTGGGGTCTTGGAGAGATAGTCTAGGATAGCCATGGGTACAGGCTGGAATTCTGGCCAGTGAAAGACAGTTCTTGATTTTTTTTTTTAATACATAAACTGAAGAAATGCAGTCAGTTTCGTATTTAAAATCTGAAGTGATTATTTTTGTCCATCTTTCGTTAGTCTAGTAAATGCCTGGTCTATTTATAGTACAGCTAAAAAGCCTTGGGGTTTTGCTCTGTTCTATAAGGACTATATATATTTCCCTATTCCCTCGCTATTTTCCCATTTACTCTGCTCCTGCAGATTTCATGTGGAGGCTGTAGCCAGTGTGAGCTGGCTGCAGGAAGTACTCTGGTGTTGTCTCAGGATTCAGCTCATGGTGTTAACGATCTGACGTTGCAGCTGCAGCTCACTTGATGACCCACTCCAACATTCCGATAAGCCTCTAGGTGGACAAAGGCCTTTCTGAACTTGGGATAGTCTGTTTGGTTTCAGATGCAATGCGTGTGACTTCTAGAACGCGAGCTCTGTGAAGCAGTCCTCCTGCAGTCAGAGGCTCTTGGTGCAGCATCTTGGACTGACACCGGTGACTTGCGAGGTTTTCCGCTCACTCAGATACAATGCTTTTAATGTAGATTTTTTAAATGTGTTCGTTAAACTCGCTGTCTTCTGTCTTCAGGATTCAAAGACGATGACTTCTTGGGGGGCCGGGGTAGAGGAACCCGCCCTGGAGACCGGCGACCGCCAGGTGCCTTGATGGGAAGTGGTGGCACTGGCCGCTTCAGAGACGGGCCTCCCCTTCGTGGGTCTTCCATGGACTTCAGAGAGCCAACAGAAGGTAAACTCTTGGCCTTCTCTCGTTCCGTCATCCTTCGTGAAGACTGCAGCTTGCTTTGGTTAATGCTACTCCCCTTGACAGACAGATCTTAAAACCTTCATGTGTTGTCTTTCAGAGGAAAGAGCACAGCGACCCCGACTCCAGCTCAAACCTCGAACAGTTGCTACTCCCCTCAATCAAGTAGCCAACCCCAACTCTGCCATCTTCGGTGGAGCCAAGCCCCGAGAGGAAGTAGTAAAAGAGCACGACTGAGTTTGGGGTTGAGAGGGAATGGGGAGGCGGGAGAAAAAGCAAGACAGTACAGAGTGACTAGCTCTGCTGGAATGTCAACCCTGCAGTTTACCATTCCTGCCATCTGGCATTTGTCCTCTTTGAAACCGAAAACACAGAGCTTGTGAATGCATGTCAGCTGTTAACAAGTGGTTTTTAGTACGTTCTTGGCTTTGCTGTATCTAGTGCCTGCTTTGTGCTGAGTTTCCCTCTTCTGTTTCCTTCCAAGCAGCACAGTTGCCAGTAGATAAGGCAGTGTAGCTGCTTCCACACGCGCGGCCGTCTCTGGACAAAGGTGCTGCTTCGACTTCTTCCTTTCTGGGTTTCTTTACTTTAGAAGCACCACTTAGACTTAGTTATTGCCCTGTATTGTTTCCTTTTATTTCCTCAGTGCTCCTCTTCTGACCTGCATGTCTTGTTCTGTATTGCTGTGGCTCTGAAGAGGAAAACTGGAGAGTCCAGACGAGTTGAGCAGAGAAATTTTTACAGTTCTAACCACGTAGTGAAGTGCCGTGGGTGACAGTGGGTGACAGTGGCTTCAAAGGCTAGAGCCCCTTGCAGACTGAGGGGGGCAGCTGCCCTCCACAGGGGTTACCAGGAGGTACCAGTTGAATAGGTGCCAGCTGGCTGGTGGGAACCCTGGTGAGCAGGGGCCGGAATCAGTGCGGATAAAGCATCCGCTGGCAGACTGGCTGGTGGTTGTCTGTTGGCTCCAAAATGGTATGAATCTACACCTCTGAGCTCGAGGTTAGTGCTGTGAAAATGTGCCTGTTTGAGCACAACTGCTCACTGGCTCTTTCTGCTTACTTCTTTTTTTGGGTTTTACATGTTTGGTAAATTTTTAAACGAAGTTTCTACAAATAAAATTGACTTTATTTTTCTTTAAGGAGTGAATACTTTGCCGTGCAGTATGTAATTGCCAATACCCCCTGGATTTCTTTGCCCACTGGTGTACAGTTTTAAGACCTCTGCTTTCAGAATACCTTGAAAATGAGCAGATAGAAACCGTTCTGCTAGAGATCCTCTTCATGTAGAAGTTTGGGTTAAAAGCATCTCTAATAGCTGTGTCTCTCTTCACTTGCCGTGTTTCCTGCTGGTGTTGTGAGGGAGGGGGAGGCTGGAGCGACAGGAGAGAGATGGTTGATGTTTAAAACCAAGCCTGAATCTTTAACCCTGACCCGTGGAGGTGTCCAGTGCGTGAGAAACTTGGGCCCCCGTGGCTGGTGCTGGCTGCTCTGGGATGCCGGCTGGCGCACGGGAGTGCTTGCAAGAGGAGTTGGGAAGCGTGGCCGCTTCGCTGCCAGCATCGCTGCTAGGAGCGCGCTTCTTCCCTGAGGTCACCTGTGTAGTGTCAGAGCCCCAGCAGTTTACA